GCACACACGCACTCAGCCCAGAACTGGCCAGCACGCACACACACGTGCACACACGAACTCAGCCCAGAACTGGCCAGCATGCACACACGTATAAAGTCAGATGTATTCAATTATTCAACCTACTCATTTAAAAAGGTGTGCATCAGATGTGGACGTGGGGCCGCAGAGGATGCCCTGGGCAGTTCCTGCTCCAAGCCTCTGCACACTGCCACAAAGCATGGCTGATTCTGGCGGCCAGCAACCCTGCCCTGTGCTGCTCAGCAGGTCCTGTTCCTCCCATGTTTCCCAACAGTGCTCTCACCTTTCCTGCTAAGCCTTTCAACACAGGGAAAGCAGCCCTGCCAAGCAGCTCCTCCGTGCCAGGCTCCTGGAGAGCCTGGTGCCTGTCCTGCAGCAGCGCCACCTCCTCCTGAGAAGAAGGACGGCCTCCGAGCCCTGTGCCCCACACCCCGCCTAGCTGACCCCCACACCTGGCATCACTCTCTGTAACAGCCACAGAGCACCCCAGAGCCGGCAGCCAAGGATGCGAGGAGCAGAAAGCACAACTGCTGTAATGTCCCCAAACTTTAAAGCAAATTCAGAATTTCAATATAGACATCCAGTGTTATTCAGTCTTTCTTACACTTTTGGGCTCCATTGAAGAGGGCTCTGTCTTTTGGGGTGTCGCCAACTTCGATTATCTTGGCGCCAGCCAGGAGCTGCATAATGAGGCCAGAGGTGACAATGGGAGAGATGCCCAGCTCCATCAGCGTGCCTGGAGAGGGGGGGGGGGGTCCTCGAGTTAATGCCAGCCTGGGAAAAGCCAGGCACTGCTGCTAAAAAATGAGCCACATCCCCCTCAAGTCCTATGCGTTTCGGTGTGCTAGCAGCATTTAATTTACAGAGCACCCCCATCCTATCAGCCATGAAAATACAACTTCATTCATTCCATTCAGCCCGCCAGGTAGCATTCTCTTCTGTTTAGGAAGACAAGCATCGAGAACAGACAGTGGCATTTAAATGCACCAGAAACAGATCTATTCTGGTTTCAGAGATAAGAAAGGTGCTTCTCTCCATCAGTTAATAATAAAGGACAACATTCAAATTATCTCTGGAAAGTCTGGGAAGAGGGTCAGCACAATTATGTCGCGTTGTAAACAAACTCCTACTGCTATTGTGCATATGCTCAAATGAGTCACACTTCTGATGTGAAACTTAATTTGAACTCTATTTTTTAAAATGAGTCAATCAAAATGCACATTCAAAATCCTCTCACATACAGGTAAATGATTTTGCAAAACTGTTATGTGTTTTCTGACATACATATATAACCTACAGATAAGAAGATGCAGTTGAGAAACAATTTATATTGCAAAGAATGTTATCAATGGACATGTCCTACAAATTTCAGGTATTTTTCCATGCTTTCAAAGTTCTCAATGATGTGGACCTGTACTGTTATCACAGGTTTTGTATCGCATCCAGACCCAGTTTCAAATGCGATGAGCAACATAGAGATAAGCCATTCCCACGGTATGCTGACCTGCCTGCATCCCCTGCTCTTCCAGGCTACACAAGCTACAAAAACTGCTGGAGTTCCACACAAAGCCAAAGCCCATAATTAAAGAAAATGAGGCTATTCAAGTCCAGTGTGTGGAGAAGACAGAGCGAGATGGGACCTACCTCGGTTAGAGGCCAGAATCACTCTCATCCAATAGAAAGGGTCGGCGGAGTCTGAAGACATGATACCGAACAGGGGAATCTGGAGAGCAGGGATGGGGACTGGGGTCAGCACACTGTCCTCCTCCCCCACCTCCCAACACCAAGCAAGGCAATGGGGCTCACCTGACAGCACACTAGGAAGATAAAGAGGGTGATGGCTGTCCATAGCACTTTCTCCTTGAACTGAATCTAGACAAGGGAAAGAAGTTATTTTTCACGAGTAAATTACTACATAGAGAGTCAAGATGAACCCCATTCCCATTCACCAGAGAAGTCAAGCCATGCACAGAACAGTACCGAGACATCAACACCATCTGCCGCATACCCTTCTTGTGCTGATCCTCAGTTCACCCACCACACAGTATCATCACCGGTGACAACAAGCAAGCTAGCTTGGGGAAGGCTCAGTGAGCTGTCCCTCCTGGGCCCTCAGCCAGAGGGTCCAAGCAGAAACACCAGCAAGACTGATGCTACAGAAAGTCACTTGTAAAACACACAGCCTTCAAGACACACAGCAATCACTTTTCATTTGATGACTTGGTAAGCAACAACGACTTTGGAATCTGGGATTGACCAATACTGTGTTTTCTATGACTCAAAGGTAAAAGTGTGCCACGGCACTCGGGGAGGGCAGGAAGAGCTGTAGCCTGCTTGCTGTATGTGAGTACCACCTGCTTAGCTTCAAGAACGTCACCTCTTCTCAGAGGACAAGAATGATTTTACAGCCTGTCAGGGATCACACTCTCCTGCCCAAGGCCTGTCACAGAACGGTAGGAAAACTCTTCTGTCTTCTGCTAGCCCTGGCGAGCTCAAGGACGAGCAGTACTGTGCCCCCGGGGTTCTGTGGCAGAACTACGCACTGTTGGAGCCCCAAGCTCTCGGGTCAGAAGCTACGTCCTGTGCGTGAGCCGTGATGTGCTCTAGGCAGGACGAATCGGCACACAGCTGTGCTCAAGCACTGACTGGGAAGAGTTCCCTCTTTCCTAAGAACTCTTCTTCCTTAGAAGGTGGCCAGGGAAGGTATGCCATTTCAAATGAGCCACGACGAGCTTGTGGCAAAATTAACACTCTTTCCCTTTGTTGTGCTGGAATTGAACTCAGAGCCTCACACACTCCGCCACTGAGCCACACAAGACAGTTTTCAAGACTTCATTTTTGAATGACTCGGTCTCCTAGTTACAACAAAGTTTAACAATAAATCTTGAAAAGCTCTTTTCCAAGTCCTGTCTCTGCCTCCAAAATAGTCTCTAAATCTACCTTGGCTCAGTACCATGAGTGCTTACCCACTCCGGCAAAAGTCACTGAAACACTTTATTTCCAAAGCCATTTTCTAAATTGTCTGTCCCTTTTCCACTCATCTGTACCGTTATGTTCCACGGATGCAAACTCCACGTCCCACTCACTTGGGCCCTGTCTTCTCTGCCTTTGCCGGGAATGCATTCTCGTACTCTAAACATCTTTCTCCTTCAAAACCACCGTCAAACATCACTGCTCCCAGACTGAATTCCTGTCTGAGCCGCTGCTGTATCTTGCACCTGTCTTCCTTGTTCACCTCTGCTACAGGGACCAAGGCCACACAGCTGTTGTGAGCAGTACGGAGGATGGAGCCCAGTCGTGTGGCTCTGAAGCCACTGAGCCAAGGGGACTAGCAGCACTACAGACTTCACCGTCACAGGCAGACTGCATCTCAACTCAAACCATTTTAAGTAAAAACTGAAAGTTGATTCTAAGTTTCTGTGTGGATGTTAACCACACACAAACATGTGAACACACGAACAATAGTCTGACACAGAAAATCTGAACTAATTAAGACGTCCTTAGCATCACTTGCCTTGACAACACCCACTGTCTGTACCAGAGCAGTCCCAGGAACGGATACTCAGCACAGCACTGCTTTTCCAGTGTTAGTGTACCTGCTGCACATTGCAGCAGACTTGAGTACCGCGACCAGCTACCTACAAAGCAGCTGCCTTTCCCTTTGGTGGCTGATACTCCCTGCGGGCGGTGAGAGGGTGGCCATCCCACTGGGATCCTGGCTGAGCACCACTCCCCACCCGCGTCCATTTCTGGGGCAGGACAAACCTCAGGTGCGACATCCAGCCAGAAGAGACATCCCAAATGAGGGAAGGGATGAAAAGCAACCAGGTACACACACTGCCGGCGGGGGGACAGGAAGCTTCCGTTTGGGGTGCTCACTGACGTTTCCTTAGGCTTACCTTCCTCTCGGGTTTCTGTATCTCCGGCAGGATGACACAGAAGGGCTTGATGACTTCCAGAAATTTGACTTTGATGGAGAAACAAAAGGGGAGTTAGTCTCCGAAACCTGCGGCCTACCGGGGAGCCGGAGACCGCGAGGCTGGGCGGGCCGCGCTCTGCGGGGACTGGGCTGGCCGGGGAGCCCGAGGGGGGGCCTGGGGGCCGGAAGCGGGCCGG